GCGTCTCTGGCCCGCCCAGGATGAAAAGCCCATTTTCTGTCATGATTTTTTGTCATAGAAGGAGCACACCACATCTATGATGATACCGTATTTTGTCACAATTATCGTCATAGAAGTGTCATAAGTATGACAGGAAAAAAAATCGTTTGGCCCAAAATGTCACGGATGTGTCTTTTTTGTAGTGGGGACTGGTGCTTTGTAGTGGGTTCAATCTTGCGGTGCTCTAAGCCGGTGACAAAAAGGGCAAAGGCATGTACTGTATTGTTGCCACTAAGGACAAAATGACAAGTTTCATCATACTGATTGTTGTCTTCCTATCTATATTATGTCATCTTGCTTATTACGATACTCTGTTTCTTGCAAACTTAATACGTTGAGATGCATGTTGGATAGCGGTTTTGGGGTGGAGTATTAGTAGTAGATGCAGTTGAATTAACGGTCTACTTATCACGTACGTAACGCCTATATGAGATTATACCATGAATGATCATATTCATAAATATTGCATTTAATCGCTGCCCAACTGTAATTTGTTTACCATGTCATTTGCTTGTTTTCGAGAGAGAGATGCCACTAGTGAACCTATGGTCCCCTGAGTCTATTCTCTATTACTTAATTCTTCTACACCATTGCTACTTTTATTTTTGCCGTGTTACATTGCTATCTACTATCTCTTTCACTTGTAGTCTAATCTTGTAACTAGTAAGACAAGGGGCTTGAAAACTCCCTTGCCGTGTTGGGGACCAGTTTGTTTGTGTTCTGTGCATAGGTGTTGTTGACTTTGTTAGCATGGGAGACTCCTACTAGATTGATAACATTGGTTCTCTAACTAAAGGAAATACTTGCTACCATTCTGCTTCACCCTTACACGTGGGAGAATCCCAACAACTCCTGCAGGAGCAAGCACAAAGCAACAAAAAGAACATCATGGACCACCAATCCATGCACGCAACCAAAGGTTGCTCATGAGCGAATGCTTGTCATAAGAGCGGGCATTAGTGGTTAATGATAAAAGAAACACCGAACAGACAATTAAAAAACATCAATCTAGGCAAAACTCATGAAGCCTGTTAACAACATGCCACTCTAATGTACCAGCACACGAAACACCGAATGGACAATTAAAAAAAACATCAATCTAGGCAAAACTCGTGAAGCTTGTCATTAGGGCTGAAAAAAAAGCTCGAAGCTCGTGAGCTAAACGAGTAGCTCGTGACTCGGCTCGAATCGACTCGAACTCGTAGAATAACGAGTCGAGCCAAGCTTTAGTTTAAGATCATTTATAGACCAAGTTAAACGAGTCAATCTCACGAGTACTCGTGTAACTCGTTAGGCTCGGTACAAAAGATCAGCCACTTCCAATACAGAAAAAGATTAGCCACTCAGCACCCTATGTCCTAGGCACACAACACAAGGCCTAGTCGTTTAAGGCCCAACCGCCTAGGAGACTCATGCGTTACAAGGAAATTACTATTGTTAGTGATATATATGTTTAATATATACATAATTATTTTTATAATATTTGAGGGTTTTATGTTCATATCTTTAACGAGCTTAACAAGCTAAACGAGCCAGCTCGCGAGTTATACGAGTCGAGCCAATCTTGGATTTGAGTTCGTTATAATAACGAGTCGAGTCGAGCTAGCTCGTTAATAAAACTAGCTCTAGCAAGTCAAGCCGAGCTGGCTCGACTCGGCTCGAATTCCAGCCCTACTTGTCAACAACAAGACACTCTAATGTACCAGCACATTCTAAAGCGGCAACTAATAACAGCCATACATTCTAATGCAGAAGGAAGGCAACACGGAAAAAATCTAGATACACGAAGGGAAGTGAGAAGAACACACCATCCCATGGGAAGACAACGAACAAAGGCAAGGGAAAGACACCATTCGCGGTCGATGAGGTCTCAACCACTGAACGCCCAGCCAAAAATGACCGCTCCCAATTGGCGAGGTTGCAACCGCCGAAATGCCAAATGACCGGCTAGGAAATACGTCGCTCCTAGACGCGTGCTCACAGCCGCCGAACACCCAACCAAGAAGACATCAAACTCTCCTCAAGGCGCCTACTCCTAGCCGCTGAAATCTCCTCAAGCCGCCTTTGTGCACAGCCGCCACTGATTTTCCCCTCTTCGCCTCTACATGGTCTTTTTCATGTCCACATGACCGGCGCAACGGTAAAAGAATCTCGTGCCCCTAGAGGTGCAACACGATGCAGACACATGGCACGACTGACAACACCTGGCTTGAGGCGTGCGAGATGTGGTCAACACCATTTGACCAATGGGGAAAGAAGAAGAAAAAACTCTGAATTGTAGTGTGCTCTCAAAATCATTGCCCTGAATCGACTCTGCTCCACCACACAACCACTTAGCAATGGGCCCACCCATCAGCAGATCACTCCACAAAGCACTATGCATTGACCAAGTCAAAATCGTAGACCAAATCTTGAATTGGAGACCTCGGTTGATTGAGAGAGCTTCCACCCTATGGAGCTTAGTGAATTAAATGATTAGCTTGCTTGCCATATAGGTTGTTTTCACCATAGATTCCATATCTAAAGAACTTATTTTGTTCGCACTAAACCTAAAATTTGCATGTTAAGCTACAATTTTGTAGCCTCCTATTCACCCCCCCCCCCCTTCTAGTTGATGCTTTCATATCTTTTTTGAACGTGTTGATGCTTTCATACTTGCTCTGCTAACGCACCTATCATGTTACTTAATTAGATTAAGCTTATTGAATCTTTTCTTAATTTCTCTATAGGGTATATCTTGACTATGTTTTTCTTGAACCATAAAAGAAGTATTTATGTGGTTCTACACAAAGGTATAATTTTGACAAAAGATAACTGGTCAAACATCGACGACATGAAAAAAATGTTGCAGTTATTATCAGGAGGGAGTTATTCCTCAGTTATTTCAAGTGTACCCTTTTGCAACATTGGTGTGGCAAATGGTGCATGTAGCTTTTAATCTACCACCTCAACTAGCATAGAGAATATGTTCGATAGCTGGTTGAGGGGAGTTCGCTCGTCGCTTTAGGACTGTCAGCGTTTGTACTTTACATTGGGCATTATCAAATTGTCATAATGATTTTGTCTTTCACAAATCAAAACTTCATGTAGGTTATCTACAAAGTCACCAGCTCCATTCCTACATGATCTACCCTACTTCGCTGACAACAGTGGATACACGGCCTTGGGGTGCAGCCGACTGGAGATGTTGCACGGGGTATCTTCAACCGGGCTTGATGGATATTCAGTGATTGGATATGTGATTGAGTCATTGTTCCTTCTTAGTGTTTGATTGTTTCGAGCTTTGTGCTCTTTTGCTTGTTATACTTTTTTGAGAAATATTGAATGTATGTTACTGTGAACTTGGGCCTCCTTTGGTTGATAGGAATTTTGTAAAAATTCTAAAGGATAGAAACTTGGTAAGAAAAATTCCTCTAGAGACATTTGGTTTGTAGGAATATATTCCTATTCTTGTACAGCATAGGAACCAATCCTTCGTATTTCAAACATTAGCCTAGACGTAATGGAAAAAAAATCATATCACATCAATCAAATGACATCACTTTCCCTATAGGATCTGAGATACATGTCATCTGTGGTATTCCTATCCTATGAACCAAAGGAGGCCTTAATAAATATTGTTGTGTGCATCGTGTAGAGAATTCACAAACTTTGAATGTATGTTTCTCTAAGACATATTAAGTGCCCTTCTAATCCCGATCTCAAATGCTCCTGTATGAACAGTAATATCGAAATAATAGAAACACAATTCTGAAAAAAAAATACAATAAACATTCATGGAGGTACCCGAAATGATAACAAAATTGGCGCTCCAAAATGTTTTCAAAAATAGTCTTATTGGAGCATCAAATTTTTTTTATCCCAAAGCAATAACAGGAATCTTATTTCTCAATAGAATTTTGCATGTAGGCAGATGCCAAAAAAAAATCAGATTGTTGTATTGTTCCCAAGGATGCATTTGAGCTCGGTAGCAGAAATTTTGCATTCGAGATAAACTCTCTACTTGAAGGGGGGGTGGGGGGGTGCAAGTAATTCATTTAGAGAAAAGAAAACAACAGCTCCAGAAACCATTGTACTGATCTGCATATTAGCTTCGTCTCAAGTAAAACTTTGTAAACTTTGACCAAGTTTATACGTAAAATTATTAACATCCACGGTATCAAATCAATACAATTAGTCATCACTGAATATATTTCCACATCATATATATTTGTTGTTGTGAAAGTTCATACTATTTTCTATAAATTTTATTAAAGAGTGAAGTGCACCATAGGTCCTCGAACTATTTTAGAGGTGTCACGTAGGTCCTTAAACTATAAAAATCGTCATCCAGATCCTCAAACTATTTCAAAGGCGTCATGTAGCTCATTGAACTATTTCAGAGGTGTCACATATATACACACTTATTACACTTCAAGGATTTTTGAGGAACTACATGGCACTTTTCATAGTTTGAGGACCTGCTTGACACCTTTGAAATAGTTTGAGGACCTAGGATGCACTTCACTCTTTAGAGTAAATTAAACTATAGAAAGTTTGATTTAGTTCAAAACTAATATGCAGAGTAAATAGAAACAGCAGGAGCACATGAAAAGCGAAAAGGAGGAGAAAAGAACTTGCTCCAAACCCATGGACGACCTGTCACAAACGCCAATCGTGTGAACATCCAGATTTTGCTATCCATCTTCAACTAGAAACCCTCATCGGGCTTTAACCTGATTGATGACTCGCTGCATAGGCGAGAAATTTGTGATTTAAGACCGCGTTTCTCTCGCGCCACATCTCTCAAACAACCGGACCACACAAGCGGATATCTACAGGTTAATTCATGGAGCGCAATGCAAAGCTACAAAAGCATGGCCGTACGTCGATGAAGCAGCCCCACGAGGGACGCAGAGGGCATCTAATGGCATCACGGTTTATTAGGCGCCGCGTGCCATGCCAATGCCAGCCCACACGCCTCATCCGGAGGTGCCGACTGCCCGTGTCATGGAGAACCGGTGCTCCTCCAGGCTCGCACGTTCGAACGGGCCATCAAGGACGGAGCAAGCTGTCCACCCCTTCACGGGCTTCCCGTCGCCGGATTCACGTCCGCCGTCCGAGCGCCGATGCTCGCTGCTCTTGCCCTTCCTCACGAAGCTCAGCAGCTTGCGGAGCCCCTTGGCCAGGTCCATGTGCGGGTTGGCCGCCGGGGCCGAGAAGATCACCGGCGGCGGGCTCTCCAGGCTGCCCCACCGCTTCCTGGCCCGTGACTGGGCCGGCCGCGGCGTCTCCGCCCACCTCGGGGACTCCACCGTCGCGTGGAGCGGCAGCTCCGACACGGACCGGAGGTGGCGCCCGGCCGCCACCTTTGGGACGAACTGGTCCTGCGGCGGCCGCCTCGGGCTCGGGCTGCCGCTGGGAAGGTCGTGCACCCTCGGGGACCGCAGGTTCCCGATCGCGCCGCCGGTCCCGCTACCGCGCCTGAGGAACGGCCTCGGCGTGGCGCAGTCGACCAGGCCGCCGCCGACGCTGTTCCGCCTTCTGTGCGACTGCGGCCTCGCTTCCGGCGTGGCGCTGCTCACCGTCCTGCTCCTGGGCAGTGGCAGAGCGCCGTGCTCCTTCCTCGGGGTGGCCGCAGCGGGCACTCCCGACGGCACCGTCCTCCTCACCTGCGGTGTGTCCCGAGCAGCGCACTTGATGGTGAGCGGGCTCGGCCTTCCGCCGGCGCGCGTGACGCCGCTCTGCCTCTGCTGCTTCTGTTGCTGGGTCTTGTGCACCGCGGCGACGGACACGCGCCTGGCGTCGCGCCGGCGCATGTAGGCGTCGTACTGCCTGCCGCGGCGGCAGGCGTCGGCCCCCGCGGGCTCCCGCACGCCGTCCGCGCCCGCGTCGTCCTCCTCCCCGCGCCGCGCGGCGTGCAGCAGCTTGTACGCCGCGAGCTGCAGCTCCAGCTCCCAGAGCTTGGCCCAGAGCGCGTCGTGGTCGTGTCCTCCGTGGCCCGCCATCGGTCCCGTGGAGACAGACAGAGACAATCCTGTGCGTGCCGTGCCGGGCGCGCCGAGCGGAGCGGGCTATATACGCGCACGTCGCCGCGGCGTGATTAAGTTTGGAGGTGCGAATGTGACCGTGTCGGACGACTGCAGTCCAGAGGATCTCGTGCTTTGCGGAAAGCGGCACGGGGTCTTCGGAGGTTTTGTGTTTTGATTCGGTCGCGCGCGGGTGCGGCCGATGAGGACGCAGCCGTGGCTTTGGTTGACCAGGTGGCGGGGGACGGCGGCGTCGACCTGGCCAGCTTCTCGCGTCCCAGAGACAGTGCGAAAGTCGTGACAGGGCACTGATTTTTTCCTTCAGGAACTGCAGGCTGGGAAAAGCTAGGTCGCCAGAATAGACTGGGGAATTTTTTGCATCCTTGTTAAGCTCTGCCTTTCGCTCTCCGGGTGGCATCAGTTTCTGTTGGACATTGTCTTTCTGTTGGACATTGTCTTTCAGATGCTGCACAGACGATTTGTCAGTCTATCCCGCTGACAAGAGCGAGCTGGTTAGGTAACAACGCACAAATAGCATTTTGTATGACTAAACCCTCACCCTCCTAAGACAAATCTTCTGTACAGATACACCAACTCTAGCAGAGGAGTACTCCGTACTATCCAGTATAGTCGTTCACCAACCGAGCCAAATGATGTCCGCATGCTCGTTGACTACAACTACCAAGTGTTCTTACATGGGTAGGTTGTTTTCAGACGGTCAATCTTCGTGATAAACGCTACCTGTCAATGTTAAGACGCCCACCAAACCACCAAACCCAGGCGCTTAGAAGCAAAACAGTCATTTCTGAAATATAAGCCGTCATCTTATTATTAAAAACTCATTTCCACCATGACAGGATAGAGCAAAGAAGCAATTCGCCAATCCAAAGCAAGAGAAATAACCAAACAAGGTTTTGGACTAAATATCAAAATTCCTAGTTCACATGAGCAGAACAGGCTTTCCTTACGATGACAGCACAGCTATCACGTCGGATGACCTGAGAACGATGTACTCGCCTTCCGAACCCTTGAACTCGCTTCCCGCATACTTGGAGTACAGCACGCTGCTCCCAGGAGTGATTGACAAGGGCGTCCTGCTGCCATCATCGCCCAAACCCCCAGGGCCAACAGCGACCACCTGTTTCAGCCAAAGAAGTGGTCACAACTCAGTAACTCATGCGACAAGTCTAAGCGTCAAGATTATATGACTATATCAACGTGGATAGCTACCCAGGACAGGAGGATTGCTCATAGTCATGCAGTCATGTCCCAACCAGTCATGTATAGAGTGCATGTGGGAAATGCAAAAAATAAAGATTAAATGATGGAGTATGGTGTGCCTGATTGCTCATATTTCATATGGTAGTAGAAATAAATTTAGGATTGGCACCGCAGTTAAGGTCTAGTCTATCTATCAAACCTAGTCAACCAGCAAATCGAGTACTACTTGTTAAGCATGTAGGGATCTCCACAGCTGTTTCAGTTTTACTACTAGTGATGTACCTAAAGTAGTATCTCCCAAGACAACATTGTGGAAACTGGCAAGCCACAAAAGCAACAGGAAAAAACAGGTGTGACCACAAAATGAGCAAAAATATATTGCCAAGAAAACAGCAGGGAAAAAGAAGTCTTGGTCACTGACTAGTTAGACTAGACAAGACTATAAATCACACTTCTGCAATACAAATCTGGTGTTCCTCCTTTCCTTATAGCTTAAGAGCACATATACTATTAATTAACATTAATAAGTACACATATCAAGGTAAACAACACCTCGCAGAGCGATAATTATGTGAAGGGATGCAACTATTTCATAGTTGATGTGTTTCAATTTCAAGGTTATAAGCAGTTATGATCACAGGTCATCTGATTAATTGCGGCAAATGCATAACAAACAGAAGTGCTCACTGTTCCAACAGAAGGCTTCTCTTTCGACGCCTGTGTCAATAGCAAACCGCCAGCAGTTTCCTCTTCAGACTCTGCAACCTAATGCCAAAGGAGAATATAGAACTTCAGTTGGTAATGGGTATTGCTGGTGTCCATATTACAAACTGTACTCAGACAAGAAAGAAATAGATTCTGGCAATCTGAATTAAGGTTTTTTCTTGGCTATAGAGAATCTAGCTCCACTGTGGTCTAATCTGAATAACTGAAGCAAAAAAAAAAAACTTCACATTGACAATCACGATCCAATAATGCATATTCGCAAAGACACTGAGCATGGCGAACCTGGAGTAGAACCATAGTGGATCAGAACTAAAGGTAGTCGGGCAGAAAGAAAGAGCAGGAAAGAACAAAATTGAGAAGTAACACAACCAAGCTTTTTTTATTTCAATTAAATGACGTTGCCAAGGCTCATGAGCAAAACAGAGCAGAGCAAATAACATAACGAGTATTTTTCTTGCTCTACGTTGCTTCTTTTTTGTTTGAAAGAGCACTTCTTGTTCGGTTGTTAATGAGTTATTATTGCCCTATCATTAGTGGGTAAAATCATCCTCTATTTTTTCTGTTGAATGGGTGCCATACCATAGTACAATATTCTAAACTGGATGCATAATCCATGAATAATATTTGCCAATAACATAGCCAATGCAAATTGAGTGTGCAGTTGTAGTACTGAACCAAGAGGATTTGAATGCACATTCTGTTCACAAGAGGAATACAGCAACCACTCAGTAAAGAGTGTCAAAATAATGTCTTGAAACAGACCTTAATGAGAATACGGTCACTCAGTGGCTTCAGATCTTTCACGTCATCAGTGTCAAGAATACCAATGATGTCATCTTCTTTCATAATGAGGTGGGTGGTATCATTGAATTCCAACTCGGTACCAGCGTATTTAGAGTAAATAACTTTGGCACCAACCTGTAACCAGATAATATATTGTTACTTCCTCTCATCGCAGTAAAATATTAGGTTAAATAGGAGAATAACATAAACTGTGGCCACGAAGAGGTCATGCGAGTAGTCTTCAAGAACATAAGAGTGATTTACTGATTTTCATGTGAAAAAGATCTACATGCAATTAAGTTGTACTATTATTTCTTGCCCATAGATGGCACTTCAGTAACAACACATTTAGGTGATTTATCTTTCCGTTTATTTTATTTACATGCTCTGCTAAACAGGTATAGGTCCTATCACCAAACACTAGATGATCTTAGTCAACCAAATAGGGTACATACCGGAACACTGATCTCGACGATGTTGCTGCCTAAGCTTCTCCCCTCTCCAACTGCAACAACCTCCCCTGCTTGTGGTCTTGACTGAGCTGTTGTTGGAAGCAATATCCCTCCAGCAGTTTTATCCTCAGTAGTCTTGGTCTTCACTAGTACCCTATCTCCCAATGGTTTCACAGAAGTATACTGCAAAAAATTCACCAGTTTATTAACAGTAGAGCTTAGGTAAAAACCAAAAGGCCAGGGATTGCACATTACGTTCTCAGAAGTTTAAACAGTATCACAACTAACTTGTAGTGAGCAACGGACCTGCTTCACCTGAACAACTGCGATAAACTGCAGAAAGCTGTAGGTGATATGGTGCGATATAATGTGGGTGATATGGTGTGTGAAGTAAACTGCAGAAAGCTGTAGCTTTGCACATGAACATACTTGGTTGGTGCGCAGCCATGCCACACCACAAGTTAGGCAAAGATTTGTTCCTTGCCACCTGGGTTCCACACGTATTGACTCACAAAAGTGTGGTGCTGATTTTGAACGCCTAACCTTAGGCAAGTTTGGAAACATTAAGTGTGCCAAATATATAACAGCACAACTCTCTCCCTTAAAGCCAAAGCATATCGCGCTAAAGAGAGTTAAACTGCAACTAATTACCAACAAACTTGGCCCTGCACAAAATTTGAAAACTAGCAGGTTTGGGGAGTACATCAATTTTATGTGTTGTGCCCTGAAAGTCCCATTTGGAACTTCCGGGGATCTGCAGTAACCACATTGAAGGATTTGCATCAGAAATGGTCGGAAATCAGAAGTATCTCATATTTTTCATGCTATTTATGGTAGTGGTCTTTATATTCATCAAGACAGCAGAGTAGCTGGGTTCGAAAAATATATATAAAGACAGGAAAGGCAGAAATTTACATCTGTACAACAGAAACAACATATGAAGGGAAAACCTATTCAATTATGCACTCCAGTTTGTGTTGAAAAACAATTTAGGCTGTGGATCTGTGTTTTCTAATAAGATTACAGAAGGTCTTGTGACAAGCAATTCTTAACGAGTAACTAATCTTCGCTCCCACAGAGCCAAGGCTCCACCTTGCAGTACCCTAAAGCACCATTAACCATTCTAAACTGGATAGGAGTAAGTGTATGGATTACTGTGTTTCCTCTCCTACATCCTATCCAGTTTCCTTAGGCCTTGTACAATGCAAGGTGCTTACCAAGGTCGGCAGTACCCCCTGTGAATACTCCACCAGTATGAAAAGTTCTTAATGTTAGTTGAGTCCCTGGCTCCCCAATTGATTGACCGGGGAGGTGCTTAGAGAAATAAACCAGGCTTTCCTTAAGCACCGGTGCTTTTTTTTCGAGGGAAAGCATTCATGGCACACTTTATTGCAAAATAAGCAGCGATGCATCGTTCATTACATCTGAAACAATAAAGCTAGGGGGAACATCATCCTAAAAAACAGTAGAATTTGAAACAAAAGCATGTCTATCTAAGTTGTACAGGGTAGACGCTCAATTAGGCATCTCTCCTGTAGAAATAAGCACCTGTGCTTCAGAAAAACCCGGTTTATTTATCTAAGAACCTAGCATTGTACAAGGTCTTATACTCCGTATGAAATAATGGCTACGTGCAAGGTGCAGCCATAGAGCTACCACAAATTGTGTAACCAGACAGTGGTAGCATCTGACAATTTGTGGCCCAGTCATTTGATTGTTACCTTGGGGGACACGACCGTGGCGGCCCTGACGACGAGGCCCCGGAACCTCCGCCCCGTCGGCACGGGACGCGCCGACGACGAAGGGGGGACACGGAGCCCGTCCGCCAACGCTGGCTTCGCCATCGCCGCGGACGCCACCTTGGGGCCGCATAGATGCACCGACGCCATGGTCCTGCCGAGACCAACCGCCAACAGCACACAGAATCACACAGTGAGCTACGGGAGACCCAACGAAGCGAGCTTCCGGGGCACGGAGAGGCGCGTACCTGCGGCGAGATTCAGCTGAGAGCGCGCCGGAGTGAGAGGGAGAGAGTGACGAAGCGAGGGTTCGGGGAGGAGGAGAAACCGAGGAGACCGGGGCTAAGCTTGGGATAAGGATTTTGTTACTCTCGGGTTTAGGACGAAAAGGAGGCTGCCGGATGGTTCTAGAGGAGGATTCTGGCTCCCGGACCCATCCATCCGGGCTGGGGAATCGCTTCGGGCCGGCCCAGTTTTGTCTGTATGGGCGGCTTCTCGCGGCCTAGCCCATTATGAAAGGAAAAATAAATGTTACGGATGGATTGCAGACGCTTAACCAAACCCTGATCGATCTTAAAAAAAACTCGGGAAACAAAAGGAACATTGCATACTTAAGAGATACTGTACTTGACCGCGAACTGAATGATCACGTATAAGCCACTGATGCACAATATTGGGCAAATGATGTATGAGCGAGTACTTAAGAATATTCACTCACATAGCCCGATCTTGTGATTTTACATTTTTACCCATAATCATCCACAACTACAAAAAAAAGATTGTGATTTACTGTCATGCATTTTACATTTTCACCCGTTCACAAGTATGTGTTGTAGCACTTCCTTCGGTGCCGCAATTGCTTTGCCAGAGAGTTTACCATCGAGCATTTGGTGCATTCCTGCGTCAGGATCTCGCCATCAGAAATTACGGGTATCAGCACAGCAAGCAAAGGGCTTCACCTTCACTCTGCATCTTTGGACATTCATTTAGGTGATCTACTAACGGTAGTTAGTAGTTCACGCTGTCACGGTGGAGTGGTAGATTTCACTAGTCATTTAACAGTTGGGCCAGCATAGCATCTGCACTCTCAGGGCCATCATTGTTTACACTGGGAACTATATGCTCTGGTGATATGAACCGGACAAATTCTCGGAGTTCTGTGAAGCTACTGTGCTCACTGTACGGTACTTCATATCTGTAGAGGGGAAGAAACAGCAGGTAGAACTTCAGAATCAACCCAGAAACAGTAATCAGGTCATCACGGTTTTGGGGTTTTGTGAAAATAACTTCAGAAACATTGAACTAACAAGAAATATCTCCGTTTTCTCTAATGTGTAGACAACGTTGGATTTAGTTTTGCCCAAAAGAATGCTCACTCCAGCTCTTAGAACAGTTTCTTCATTTTGAACAAATATTAAGTGAGGTTAATAAGGTGAAAACTCGTCTGAAGAAATAAGGTGAAAACTACAGTACGACAATCCCATTGTTGGAAAGTGCAAATAGTGTTAAAATGGTTTCTTTACTATTTTCTTTAGGGAAATTACAGAGTGACTACTACTCCCTCGGAAATATGAAACGTTTGAGCTTTACATGATTATAGTCATGAAACATGCTTCCATGGTTTAATAATTTATAGTAAAAAATTGGCATATTCATAACGAACTACCAAAGTTGCATGTTGGAGACATTGCTGAATTGCCGATGCCCAAAACATGAAATACTCCCTCCATCTCAAAATAAGTGTCTCAACTTTGTACTAGCTCTAGTACAAAGTTGTACTAAGCTTAAGACAGTTATTTTGGGACGAAGCGAGTAATATTGAACAGGGGAAAGTATCAGTTAAGCAATTCCAGGACAGTACCTGATGATTGTCCCTTGTTGCCACCTTCTGCCTGGTGTCTTTTTCCTCCCTTTACCAAATGACCAACCAGTAGGACAAAATGCCACAATGAGGTCATACCGGTCCTAAAAAGCAAAGTAGCCATCAGAAAATCATAATAGACGACACTAAGGAACATGGGAATAACACTGCACTGAGATTTCGGTTTCTCACTGGATAGCAACTTTGGGGAATGAATTATGAAATGTTGATATTTAAGGCTTGGCTACTTGATCCAACAGAAAACTAAGCATAAAAAAACTAGATGTCTTTTATTAATCCTGGTATTAGATAAACAGAATGCTGGTAATGGCTGCCAGGTTGACCTGACACTGATGAACGATAATAGCTTTGAGATGTTATAACTTAAATAATATGCAGCTGGTAGGATAGAACAGTCAGCCTTACAGCATATTGACTCGATAAATGTTTCAATCGTTTGAAGCTTGCTAGAGTCCACATGGGGACAACATGTATGTGACTTTCAGCTTCATTGGCTGTCAACCAGGGCATGATTTCCTGAGGAAGCTCCAAGTGCTTTAATATTTGCAGCTTTGCAGCTCCAACATATATTTTCTTCTGAAGCAAACGGGCAACCTCCGTAAACAGTCTTTCTTTTCCTGCGACCGGTGACAATATAAGACATGAGATACAGGAGCACTTGAATATTAAAGAGCGCGAAGATGAAACTGTACCAATTGTGTAGCTGCCAATCAAAAACAGTGTTTTTGGATTAAAAGCTTCTGCTTGTATGGCCTCAATGACAAATTGTATTACAATCCCTTGACTTGGGAAGTCATACTGCAAAATAAATTTAGCGTGTGTGAAAAATTAATGGCAGATTGGTCGTAGAAACTCAACTCTAACTTTTTTTTTTTTGAAAGGAAACTCAACTCTAACTTTGGTAACACTTTTTTGCGGGAACTTTTGGTAACACTTTTGGTCGGGAAAAATACGTACTCGTGGATTACAGTAGGTCGTGTCAAGTATTAGAGTGTGGATGTGAGAAGACTGCAAAACAGAATTGTTGGCCATCTCGGAAGAAAATCGGAAGTCTCCAGTGTGCAGAACAGCCTAAAATGCAAGCCAGGAAAAATAAGATATGGACTAATCAAGCCAACAGAAGATAGAACCAAATCAGAACAATACTTACCTTACCATTGGGAGGCTCAAAAAGGATGATTATTGATCCAGGGCAATGGTTGGCATCAAAACATGTCAAATTAATACCAGCAACAGTAATCCTTTTGTTCAGTGGCAATACATGCATTCTATCCCATGGGACACCAATCTTATGGTGTACAAGGTTTGCTGTTATTGAGGTACAGTATATCTTCCCATGACAAAAGCTCTTAGTCAAGCCTTGGTAATCTGTTGAAGACAAAGACCTCAAGCTTAGGCATCAAAACATCAAATAGAAGTGTGTAGCATCACTGAGGTGGGAAGCATTCAATTGACTAAACATACAATTAGAGATAGAGTGAACAACCAATGGGCATGCAAATAGACAAAGCCTGGTGGTCAACTAGTAGTCTAGACAAACGTTAAAGATGATAATTCAACAGAAAGTGAGAGAAATAAAATGTTCTTTGATTAAACAAGAAACTGTCTACACACCACTATCCCTTTAGTCCATATGAGGTTGTTGGCAACTCCAATTTGTTTGTTCCAGTTTATATAATTTAAAAAGGGGAGTGCAGTAAGCTAAGCACACGTGTTGTTTATAGTATTTTTTAAAAAACTATGCACCAGTATATTCTGATTAGGTAAGTTCAAAAGTTACTTTGCTGCTATGACTGTAGCTCCATGAACATTACAGCCCAAACATTAAATATGTATAACGCAATAGAGGCCAGCAGTCAGCAGATTCAAATTTATAAAAAAGAATTTTAAAAAAAGATAATCCTCCTACCACATTCCATACAAATCCAGTGACTCACACACCAAGTGATTAACATAATGGATGAGTAGTAGGGTACCGTGGCCATGTTTCATTAGAAAAGCACTTAGATTGCTAAAGAACAGCCTCGGGATGTTCATAAAGTCATAGGGGCTAGGTATGTTCATATACTTTTGGGTTCAGTAAAACCGATTGCTCAGCAGGAAGCTCTTATACTGATTAAAGTTTGCAGACATCTCTTTCTGGATAACTTAGGCCAAAACCACTAGATCACTACGAAAACATAACAAATTTGTTCGTTGAGATTTGAGAAACCTTCATTCAAACAGGGGAAAAACATGTACTCAGGAAGTTTGGCGATCATCTTTTGTAATTACTCTATTAGTTGGCACTGGCACGCAAAAAAGAACCTTGACTTACGGTCTAGATGGAAGTGTGTCAAAAACCAGTGACAGCAATCTCCTCGTAAGTAGCGAAATGCATCCTGCAGCAACAAATTTAGTTACAGAATCCACTAGCGTATGAAGGACAAATGCTCCAATTGACTTGTGCCTGGAAATATCATACCACTCGAAAAGGTGTTCCTGGGATACAACACCAAAGAGGTGTATCTTTAACCTTTGATTTTCGAGTACGACTTCTGCTAGTAGCCACCTTGGCACTAGAATTTTTCTGGTTATTTAAATTAGATGGTTTCTGGACTTTGTGGTCTCTCTGTTTCTGATCAGATGAGGAACACCGAAAGAATTCCGTAATTAATTTATTCCCGCTCATTGGACCTTTAGTCCTTTTAGTATTTTCAGAAATTAACACATCTGCTTCTGTGTCATTAGCATTGTCATTTTTCCTCCTTAATTCACCAAGGGCATGGATAATTTTCTTTCTGGGTCCAAGGGAAGTAATTCCCATACCAAGAAGATCCTGCAATCCATAGGCACCAATATGTTAATTCTCTTATCTATAACTAGAAAGACTGTCAAATTTAATACACCAACCAGTATACGTTGACTACCTCTTCTGTGAGCCACTGCAAGGTCTCCCAGTCAACTTCTTCTTTGGTAAAAATTTCCTCATATTTAGATAGCCCCAGGTTCCTTAACCATTCTACAACACACTTGTTCTCAATATTTTCTCCATCACAAGGTCCTCTTTCATGATTAGGATTAGATTCCTGGAACAGAGGAAATTCAAACATCTTATGTGATGTTGGTGAGAAATAATTGATACAAAAACTATTGGAAATGCCAATGATCAAAACATTAACCAAAAGATATTGAATCAAGAGTCTCCTCCCCTTACTTGAGTTTGTGTGTGCTTGAGTTAACATGACACGAAAACATGACACAAATTGCCAACAGCCCCACGATCCACAACAAAATATTGACAATATATGTTCATGTGTTCATCTATCAACTCGACTAGGCAGGTAATGATGCACATGCACAACAACAGTCCACGTGACTATGATTAATACACAGTGAATGAAAATATTATACAACCTCATGCTTAAATTCAATATTGAACACTGGTACAAAATTTCAAGAAACACATCAGTACCTAAGGTTACAATAAATTAAACTACCTTTGAGAGCCCAATAAGTTATCATGAACGATTAATAGAAACACTATACTAGCACAGCAGTTTAATAATATGTAATATGATATTGAAGCATCACCTTAGCAGGTTCATCTTCGTCGAGGCAATTGTTAGTATGTGCTAGCTGGAGCTCCTCACTCAGATCAGAAATATCTGACCCACATAATGGGCACTGCACTTTATAAACTGACTCAAACCCCCCAGAATCCATTTTATTCCCTTCAACAGGAGATGCCCTGCTGTTACGATGACTATGCACCTGATCCTCCATGCACAGGTTTATGAGCTCATTAAGCTGGGTTCCAATCTCAAAATTATCACAATCGTCCTGTTCAACATGATGGGTCGTACATGATTCCAGAAGCACCGATTCAACTGAATTCGAGGATAGATACTCTACACAATCTGCAGTAGAGCTTGATTTCTTCTCCCTGGTCTCAGGACTGAGAGTAGCAGCATCTTCTACAGCAACTTTTCTCTCTTCAGAAACCAAGCTAGAGATTCCTAATCCAGGCTCTTGGAAGTATTTGCAATCTGCACCTCCAAAATCGTATTTTGAATCCGGGACTAAAAGCTCTGATACTATAGAACATGAGGGGCAATTGCCGTCATGAACTTCAAATCCACTCCGCTCATTCTTTTGGGTCTCGGATCGAGATGCAATCTCAGCTTCTATATCCACATTCCCTTCATCAGAGACAGAGCTATGGAGCCATGAACCAGATCTCCCCACCACCACCCTCTCCTCAGTAACCGCATTACAAGCCCTGGATACCCCATCCGCCTCTTCAGAGTGCCAACTCCCCAAATTACATGTTTCGCCTGACTCCAAAACACTCGATTCTCTCGAATTGGGGAAGCTACTGGAACTTCCGTTGCAACCGTCGTATCCGCCCAATCCTGTCTTCTCAGCAGCGCCTAACTTGGGGCCATCGGAATGGGACCTCGATATGCCGCAAATTCCTCCACTCGTCACTTCGTTGCCCTCCGGTACGCGGCGCGTGCCGGTACCAACCCTCGAACGGCCCGCTAGGGTTTCGGCAGCCGCCGCGGCCACTGTAACAACACTCTCGGTGGAACTGGCAACGGGGCGGTTCTCCTTACCGGAGTAGGGTGACGGCAGCTGTAGCTTCTTACGGAGGTGGCGCGAGACGGCGCCGTTGGAGGAGGGCTTCAAGGGACGGGGGCGGCTGGCGGGGGGAGGGATATGGAAGTCGTCGTCGTCGTCTTCGAAGCTTGCGGCGGCGATGAAGGGCCTGGTTGTGGTCTTGGTACGGGAGGTGGAGGTGGAGGTCGCCGGCGGCCATGGCTTCGCGGGGGGCTTGGGTTCCGCCGGCATTTGGTGAGAAGGGGAATTGGGTGAGGAACTGGGAGTGGGAGATGGAATATTTTGGCCGTGGCTATTTCGAAATGAAATGGAAAAGGGCGCGCCTATTTCTGTGTGGAAACGCGAGAGCGAGACTGTGTCTGGGCTCCGTGGGCCGTTCGGTAGGCGTGTTTGCGTGTAGCCATGCAATTTTGGCCTCTCTCTTTTTCGAACCTGTGAGATTTTATTCATTTAGGAACATTTTACAGGTAAAAGCGTGAAATGAAGCACGCTAGATACTCCCTCCGTTTCATAACGTAGTGTGTCGTGGTGGGCGCACGGCAGATGACATGGAATGACTAAAGAGAGGAGGAGGTTCGAGGGCACTGGTAGGCTCCAGAGGCGAGGTTGGCATGAGCGAGCGCGGGACGCAAGACATACCCAGGTTCGGGGCTCTCCGGAGAGATAATACCCCTAGTCCTGCCGAATGTGGTTTATATGTAACAGTATAGAGTTGCTCCTGGAGTTGTATGAAGGAAGAAGGAGAACTGGCCAAGGCTTAGGCTGCTCCTTCTTTCCAGGTGTGTTCTACTAATGGGTGGCTAACTTCTCTATCCTTTCCTACTTACTTGCATGTGTACGCGAGGGCTCCTGGGGGTTTTATAGGATAACCCCCAGGGATACAATGGTAATGTTACGAGTTTGTGGGTCCGGGTCGTCAGCGTCTAACGACCCGGGCTGGGACCCGCTGGGGGCCTGTGGTTCGCAGGGTTCCCCTAGGTGCGGGGCCCGCGCGCCTAGGGGGACTGTGCGTTGTTTTGTCGGTCGTCAGGAAGTGGCCAAGACGAGTCTGCTATAGTGGCGCTCCGTCAGGTCGCCGCTTGCTGTCGTCAGCAGTGACGACGGGAGCACTGTTGCCACGCCAGGCCTGGCCAGCGGGTAGGTGAGGGGCATTGTTGCCACACTCCGGCTAACCAAAGGCATGGGCGGGGCACTGTTTCCTTGGTCATCGGTGGATGAAGACTCGTCCCATCGTACAACCTCGATGGAACGGGAGCTGACCCATGGCTGGGTTGCGGAGCACGCCACAGGTGGAGCTGGCTTTTTGGGAAAGCCTTGGTTATGCCGGGTTCGGCTGTCTTGTACTGGTTGTCGAGGCCGAGTCGAGGTGCCTGACCGGGTTGGAGAGTTCGGCTGGGTCGCGGGACCTGACCGGGTAGAGCGACCTGGTCAAGCGCGTGCTGGCTTGAGGGGCAACACCGGCCCCGTTGTTTTTGAAAAGGATCTGGATTTCGTTGCCTGCCTGGGGTTCATCCCTCGACATAGTGTGTATAGATTTTCTGAAAAATCAAACCAAGCAAAAATTAACCAAGTTTACACTGAAAAATCCCAAACATATACAACATGAAAATATAACTGATGATGCATCCATGTATTTGGTATTTTAAATGTACATATTTTTTTCTATAAACACGGTCAAAGTTTATAATATTTGACTTTAAAAAATATATATATGCACTACATTATGAAACAGAGGAAGCACACCAAGAGTGTCTTTGACGAGACACTGATTTCCCTGGGAAGATTACAAAGCAAGGCATCTAAAAAGCAACGATGTGTTTTGTATTTGTTGACATCAGATTTTGGCACAGTCAAGAACTTATTTAAGATGGTCTCAAATGGAGAAGTGGTCTACATGAAAGAGTTTTGTATTGTTGATATGAACATCTTTTAAGTTTGGGTCATCGCCATCCGATTTCATCTCGAAGGCCGAAACTATGCTCAAAGTACTAAGATCTTATATTCAGAGTACAGTTTGGCCGATTAAGCACCCAAGACGACCTCAAATGGAAAAATTATCTATACAAATTGTCTTCATCTCGTCGAAACGATTGATTTCTATATAAAACTCGTCCAGATCCGAATTCGTATGCAAAATTTAGAGCAATCAGAGTGCAGACCTGTCACGAGGCGAGATGTGGCGCGCCCCACCAGACGCATGTCTGATGGGTAGCGCAAAGGAATAGCATGTTTTGCGTGGCCAATTTGACCCTCAAGATGATCTCTGATCAAAAAAGTTCAACATAAAAGTTGTTCGTCTCGTTGAAACGGTCAAGGTTGCTTTTGCGCTTGTTTCCATCCGAGATCGTTTACCACCACAAAAAAGATCTGCAAGGTGCAGCCAGTTTAAACCGAACAGTTTTGAAAAGTTCGGACAAAACCAATCCGAATTTGACTAGGATTTTGGACGTGAATCCAAGCCTTTTCCTTCCACGGGAAGTCCAGCCGCCTCTTATATACCTAAGGGGTGACGGCCAATTAAACAGCACACAATCGATCAAATCATCTATCACCTTTTATCTTTTATCTTTTCTCCTTAACCCTAGTTCTTCTTCTTCCATATTCTTCGTCTATTCTTGTTGTTGCAAGGCGGTGAACCTCGAGGCCCTAGGGGCAATCAGGTCGACCTAGGGCAGCCCATAGCCAATGCGCGCCCTGACGGGGTCCCTCCCGGGTGTGTGGGATTTCGGGTCCTCAAAAGCATCCGCCGGCTGTCCTGCATATCACGCTGCCGGTCGGGTCTCCTTCGACGTGAGTTGCGGTGCATCACCCTCGGCGTCGAGGATACACGGTGGCGTGTTCGTGTGCAAACACACTTTTTGGCTACTCCGCTGGGGACGAAGCTTTGAACCGTCTCCAGCCCGTTCTTGTTATGAAGAGATCGTCATCTAGGGTTTGCAATCTGCAAAGGTAATATGAATACACAATTCTCTACTATATATGCAAATAATTCATATGGTGGTACTAGATCGTTCAATGATTATACCCTATCGGCCAGCCCTAGTTTTTCCAATCATGCATCTAATTACGTGCAAAGGCCGATTCAAAGTAATTTACATGCTTCAACTTCTTATGATACTAGTAACATGCACCATATGTACTCCAACTCTCATGCATCGGCAACCCCATAAATCGCTATGCCGATGAACAACATGATGAGTTTGGTCAATCAAGTTGAAACACCTCGGGGGGGGGGGACTTCTAATAGCATGTGGCAAAGTGTTTCACCTTTTTATTCATCGGCAGCTAATTTGCAATATGTGAATCCAAACATGCCGATGGATGGGAGAATTGGTCATCCTACTGCTAGCTGTTCGGCCAGTTACTCTCAACTGTCATATTCTACACATCATGTTAGTAATTTTTTGGCACCGTATACAACTGTAGATGCTCATAATTCGGCTTCGCACCTTCATGGTCATAGCCGAATAAGTGAAAATTTTGCAGGAACACATGTGTCTTCATCTAATACTGTAGCATATAATGCATGCTATACGCAGTTTGAGAATTTCGGCAACACTCATGAATTATTGCTGAAAGAATCTGAAAGTATTGCGGAGCAATCCCTTTCAGAAGTGGTTGTGGCTGCATTAAAAAAGAGCTTGACACAAAACAAGAGGATTGGTGCTCTTTGCCTTGAACAATATGAAAATGGGTTGTTTCCTGATTATGCTGCAATAAAGGCTAGAGTTTTGCAAGAAGATGAAACTTCATCAATTGATAGAATTGGCGAGAGAGCATATGGTTATACAGCAGTGCATACACCTACACCTTGTCCAACTGTCAACGATTATGTTCCTTGTCACCTCCATCTCAAGCCAATGATTCTCCATCCTAAACAAACTGCTTCTCGGTGCATCATCAGAAAACTGGACCAAGATAGGTGTATGGTCAGATGTAGTGGCTGGCACAACTGAGGCCGAGGTCTGCAGAAAGCCGAGATTCCAAAAAGCATTAACCAGCACACAATCCAACCGAGCCAGCGTTGGAGTACTTCTCTTGTTGGACCAAGTGAAGTTCCTGTTATCCAACTGAATATCATCCAGACCATTGTCTCTGATCCAGGAGTTGAAAGATTCCATGACTCTCCAGCTAACATTACCCCGGAATTTTTTAGACGCAAAACAGTACATGTTGAAATCACCGACAACCATCCAAGGGGCCTCAGCTGGCACAACAACATTGCTCATAGCCTCAAAAAAGAGGGCCTATCAGAAGCCAAGCAGGGAGCATATACTGATGTGAGCACAAAGGAAACATTGGTAGTAGTGGAGGAGAAGGTGACAGTAACATGATACTTGTGCGCTAAAACTAGCTGGCCAACCATCACACTTGAATCCCAGGCAATGAGAATGCCCCCTGAAGCACCATCAGAAAGAGAAGCCGCATGATCATGGAGATTGGCAGAAAGAAAACTGCGTAACTTGGACCGGCCGAGCACTTGCAGCTTAGTCTCCTGCAAACATACAATGCTAGGGCGGCAAGAGGTTAGAACAACACGAACTAAAGAACATTTGTCATCATCACCGAGACCGCGGACATTCCAATTAAGCAACTTCATGGTATAAGTGAGAGCATACAACCCATGGATGAGGCAGGGGAAGCCAAATGCATGCTCAGCAAAAACAAACTACAAACAACATGAAGCCCATAAGGGGCGGGAAGACAGACTAGACAACGGACTCGATACATGCGAACTGATGAACATAGCAGCAAAAGCAGACTAACACGGGCAAGAGCAACCAGCAACAGAGTTGAGCCTAACACTTGGAAATTGCAGGAGCAACAAACTAACTTAACAGAGAGCATGGCCAACACTAGCAGCATGCAAAGGCATCTAGCAGAGCATGAACTACACATCAGGAACATTGGAGACGCACAAGCTGGCTGACGCGAAGCTGCTAGCGGCAGTTGCTGCTCCTAGCGGAGTGTCGACAAAGGCATGATAATCCCCAAGTGCAGGGAATCATCATAGAAATTTCCAAAGGTGGAAGTGATAAGTATGGAGTGTCGAACCCACAAGGAGCTAAAGGTAAGATCAATATTCTGTCAAGTCTATCTGCCACTGATACGACTCTACGTACACCGAACGTTTGCTTCCAACTAGATATGAGAAATAAAACTACATTGTGGGTATAAAGAGGATAACTTTGCATGATACCGGAGAGCTAAAATATAAAAGTAGGTGTTGTTATCATAAAGTTAGAATATATTAATAAATATTATAAATAGCGAGTGTGGAATAATGATGGATCGGTGTGCGGAATTATCCTAGGCAATTGTTAACAAGACCGATAGTTGTCACTGCAATTTCATATGAGGGAGAGGCATAAGCTAACATACTTTCTCTTCTTGGATCCTATGCACTTATGATTGGAATTCTAGCAAGCATCTGCAACTACTAAAGATCA